ATTCACCAGCCTCACAGTAAGAGAACTTGCACACAATTCAGTGATTTTACTGGAAAGCTGTAAATATTTGGCATTTTGATGCCTTCCCATTAAAGAGATAAACCAAATCCGCGTAGGTCAGTAACAGGATTCTTCAGTAGCTGAGCCTGACCCAAACTCATCCTGGAAAGGAAGTCTCTAGAATCAACTTCTGATCATCTAGGGAGGCCTTTTGCTGGGGAACCTTAGTACCAAAATCCCAACCATTTGCTCATGGCTTATTGCTACTAAGAAACTGTGTGAGCCTGCAGGCCAAATGGCTTATGTGACCCTTAACACTGATGGGTCCCAATTCTTAAGAATCAAGGCCCACCTAAGTCTGGTTATCTCACAGGTGGCTCCAAGTAATGAAGTGGGTGCTTCCCTTCGTTGCTGGAGGCACGGGCTGTGCAGCTAGGGAATGTGTGGTATTTCCCCTCACCTTGCAGGCTATTGTGAATTGCCCCTTTTCAAGCTATTGTGGTCTGTCCCTATAAAAACCCTATGAATGTTCTATTCAAGGACACACTTCAAGGGGTGTTGGTCCCGGCCGGTGCAACCAAGAACTGCTTTCAACCAAGAACCCAGGCTCAGATGTGCTGAGCTTGAACAAACCATCCTTGTGCACTTGGATTGGCTTCAGATTCCTGGTGATTTCTGGAAATCTCAAAATCTGGGCACCACACTGGCAGAGCATTTACCACTGACAAAGGAATCATTTAAAGCACAGCCCATAGTGCCCACTTCCTGTTTCCACATCAGAAGATCCAACGCCAGCATAGCCTCCCTCCCAGAGTAAAGCCTGTGGCTCATACCTTAATGTGAAAACTCACTGATGTGAGAATTATGGGTGTTTCTGTTTCCAATAAGTGAAGAATACATATATCACATCCAAGGGCTCCCCACAGCCTGTAGAAATCATCTTGACCAATGGAAAGAACTTTTAGGGATACAGTATCTAGGTGGTCCATGTATAAGGAAATCCAGTGGGAAAGTCAGGGCAGGAGTATGAAGAATGGTACATGCTTAGAAGAAGCCTGAAAAAGCCCTTTCAGTTTTTGTGTGGTGGTAATGACATGGCCCAGGGACATTGTATTTCCCCCAAGCCTCTGCACTCCTCAGTTGGCAAACAGTAAGAGAGTGATGGTTATTTCCTGGGTAGTCAGCCCTGTGGTCTGCAGGCACAACATGATGTATCAGAAGTTGCTGGGGTCCGTGTAGTGGATGTGGAGGACATGAAGGTGTGAAGAGAACTGTTCCATTGCAGGCAGGACTGCAAGGAATTTCCTGCTGTATGGCAGGGCCGGCGGATGTCTCTACAACCACCTTCCTTTGCATGGACCCTGAAGGCAATTCCACCTGCCTTTGCATGGACACCTGACAACCCCGCTGAGAATTCTGTAATCTCTTTAGGCATTGTCTGCCACTGTGAAGTTGGTCTTTACTATTAATGTGAGCTTGGACGTTCATGTTGCTGATAACGTCTTGCACAACCGACTTGGACAATTGGTGCTGTCTCTGTCTCTGCTGCCCCCACTGACCATCCTTGATCTTAAGCTCCCTCCTTTTGTGATGCATTTCCTCCCTTAACTGATTCAAGATTAAGTTGTGGAATGAGGATTGTAGTAGGAATGCGTTACTGATTGATATTGAGAACTTCTAATGAGAGCTTTAAGGCGAAACAAAAGGCAGAATTATCCCTGGGAACACCCACTTGACCCGACCCTGCACCTGCGTGGCAGACCTGGAAGAAGTTCCTGGCTTCTGGCTTCAGATCGACGCAGCTTGGGGAATGAATCATCTGACAGAAGATCTTCCTCTCTGTTTCTCCTCTTCTCTGTATATCTGACTTTGCAATAAAAAGAAATAAATCTTAATAAAATAAAATAAATCATGAGTAAAGGAAAAATGATGCAATTTTTACTTGAGCATACCTAAAGTAATTTTCCTTTAGTAACTCACGTCTAATACTTTAAATCAATGTTTGCTCTCACCTATTAAAATAGTTGTGACTTAGTCATGGATTACATTCCAGAGTTGGGAACATTTTTGTACTGTAATTATTAAGATTATATAGCAGGCCTTAAAGGTGGGTGTGTTTCGAATGGTTATCTCTGTTAACTACTTGATTAGGAAATCTTGAATTTCCAAAGCCCCATCCACTCATCTATGCATCCCTATAACTACCCAGGTTCAGTTATTGCCCTTACGGCTGGATCTGCACTTGATCCAAGATAGCAAGGGAGGTGGACACAGGGTTTCCTAGAACTCCCACCGACACTGCAGCTCCTCTTCTGGGTGGATGTGGGTGGATGAGGGATATGGAGTGGGTAGAGACTCTTGGTCGAGACCGTTCCTGGTTCAGCGTACACTCAATGTCTGACTTACTGTATTCAGATTCCTGCCTCATCTATAAACCTGCAATTGTCCTTCATGGACTCTGCTTCAGATGCAAGGACCTTAACCTTTGGTGTTCAAGCCCAGATAGCTTCATCTCCGATCACAGAAATGCTTATACCCTGAGAGGAAGGAAAATTGGGACAGATGTTTCTTTCTCTGGATTTGCTTCTCAAATGGCCACAAAAGTCGTGTCTGGGGCAGGAAACAGTCCATCGCTATGAATTCTGTCTGCATCTTTTGCATCAGTGGCAGGGATCCAAGCCCCCGGGTCAGGTTCTACTGCCTTCCCAGGCGCTTTAGCAGGAATCTAAGTCCAAACTAGATAGTCACGGATCAGCCTGGCACTGCACTGTTGGATGCACAATGACCAACAGTGGCCTAACACACCACAATGCCAGCCTCAAATGTTAGCCTTTGGATATCACCACCAAAATATTTTATTATGTATGTTTGATATCTGATTATGTCCCTTTTTATTATTATTCATCTGTCTAATGATTCCATTCCTAAAAAGACAAACACACTGAAGTCGCCTTTCTCCCAAAAGCTCTTTGCCCTGAAAAAGGATTTATTCATTTTTATTTATTTATTTTAAAAGATTAAACTTTTTAATTTATTAGTATTTGTTTTACATTTGTTTATTTATATTGGAAAGGCAGATATACAGAGAGGAGGAGGGACAGAGAGGAAGATCATCCGTCCGATGATTCATTCCCCAAGTGACCTTAATGGCCAGTGCTGTGCCGATCTGAAGCCAGAAGCAGGAGCTTCTTTCTGGGTCTCCCACGCAGGTGCAGGGTCCCAGGGCTTTGGGCTGTCCTGGACTGCTTTCCCAGGCCACAAGCAAGGAGCTGGATGGGAAGTGGAGCTGCCGGGATTAGAACCGGCGCTCATATGGGATCCTGGTGCGTCCAAGGACTTTAGCCGCTAGGCCATGCCACCGGGCCCCCCCAAAAAGGAAAAATCTCATTCACAATGGGCAGGAACGTCTATTACCTTGTCAAGACAGTAAGGGCATCAGAAGGGTGTGGCTGGTGGCTTCTTCCTGCCATTCTGATTGAAGCTGAGAACGCAGGCACCGTCTCTTTCACAGTAACTCGGATCCCCATCTGAGGGGGGTCTGGGCTTTATTTCCTTGCTTTGTCATGACAATGCCTCAAAGTGGTGAAAACTGTTGAGTTTGTCCCTTTATTTTCCCTCGAGGGCACCAAGGGACAAATCTGGGGAGCACCTGCTCTTGGGAGGGTAAAAACTTGGGAGAAGCAAGGTCTTAAACTTTCAACAGCAGCTTCAGCAGGCGCAGAGACCCTCACTGCCCCTCTGACTGCGGAGATGCGATCCATGGCGTTCTTAGCAATCATCTTGGAATCCCGAGGTCATTTACATTAGCAATGCCGCAGCCCCTGCTCCACCTCTGGTGAAGTTTGCTTTAGGACTGTGTGTTTCTTATCCAGGAATCTCCCTTAGCTTGGAGGGTCCCCACATCCTGATTCCAGTTTGGAATGCACCAGCTAAAGCACTTGATGCCCGGGACGAGCAGCGTCTCTGGCGAGCCTACAGCGCCTCCCGGTGTCCGAAGCTGAGACCTTCTTGTTAGAAACCTAAACCGGTGTTGTCCTTCCATCCAAAGTTTTTCTTTTTTTCCATTCTCACACTGAAGATGGTTAATTCTTTGTGTGGAACCTGTACTAGTTAAGTCTAGTTAATATCTGTGGAATACTTAACAGTGTCCATTTTCAATGTTCTGAAACAAAATAGAGCCCATTTCAGGCAGATGGATAAAAAAAATAAAGAAAAACCAGTACAATGTGTGCACGCATGCTTCAAAACGGCAAGGTGCTTTCATTAGCGACAACGGGGACCGATGTGGAGAACATGACATTTTTTTTCCCTCAAAAGCCTTTCTTCCCCTGAATTCAGAACTGTCGATGCTAGGCAAAGATATGACTCCTTGGAAATTTAAAAAGTCAACGTGTGTTTCATGGTCCTGTGAGATGGGTCTGTATCTGAAGCATTGATTCTGTGCCTCTGAGTGACCTAGGCTGTGGTTACCGCTGGCTGCACGCCTGCCCCACTCACCCGCGGCACTGACCCGTCAGCTGAAGGGCCGGAGCTGCCTTGTGGCCACCACTGCCCTCGCACGCCCCGGAAGGCCCTGGTCGCGGGGCTGGCTCTGCACGCTTCCCCGGCTCCTTCACTGCAGCTCCGGGTCTCCTCAGCGCCTGCTCGCTCTCCCCGGCTTCGCTTCTCCCTTTATCTGCCCCCTTGCCCCAGATGCAGGAAAAAACAACGACTGTGGAAACAAGGGCCTGGAGCCCTTGACCCTCGGTGCCTAATCAACTATGGAAAGGTTATCAAGATGAAATAATACTAATGAAAAAGAAAAAGAGAGAGCGTGGCCAGGGGGCGTGGTTCCGCCGTGGGCGGTGACTGACAGGGGGCGTGGCCTCGCTGTGGGCCGTGTAGGGGCGATAGGGCGTGGCTCGGAAAGACTCCGCCCTTTAGGCGTGGCGGAACTCCCTTTTCCCTCAGCCGCGGCACTCAGACCCAAGCGTCCGGAAGTCCCGCCTTCGGAAGAGGAAGTAGCGAGGCGCGCGGCCGAGGGTGAAAGGGGTGACTGCGGTGACCGAGGGAAGGCGGCGGCTGCGTGTTCTCTGCCCTCTGGGCTTGACTTGCGGTTGGAGGTGAGGCCGCCCGGAGCAGCCTGTCGGAGGAGTCGGGTGAGGAAGGACGACTTAGCTGTGGCGGGTGGAGGCCCTAGTTCTTCCCTTTCCTTCTTTGAATCCCATTTCTTCGCCACCCCTTGCTGGAGGGCTGCAGGGGCTGGGAGATCTCTGCTCCCCGCCCCCTCGTTAAGACGGGGTCTGCTAGCACCCCGCTCCTCGTCCCCTCACTATGACAGGTATCCTAGCATCCCGCTCCCCATCCCTTCAATATGAGGGGTCTCCTAGAAGCTGGTCCCCATCCCCTCCCTCTGACAGGTCTCCTAGCAGCCGGCTCCCCATTTCTTCACGATGAGGGGTCTCCTAGCAACCGGCTCCCCACCTCCTCACTATAAGGGGTCTCCTAGCAGCCGACTCCCTGTGTCCCCTCACTATGAGGGGTCTCCTAGCAGCTGGCTCCCCATCTCCTCACTATGAGGGGTCTCCTAGCAACCGGCTCCCCGTCCCCTCACTGTATCAGGGTCTCTCAGGATCACAAGTACACTGTGTGCGTTCCAGGCATCCACATTAACTTTGTCCCTGTGTTTCTCCAGCTGGGGAGTTGGAATTGTTTGGGAGTGGACCCTGATTCCAGCCATGGGCTTGTCGACCTCGACTGAGGCTGTCCCGGTGGAGACAAAGCATGAAAGTACAAGGAAAGGTAATTGACACTTTGTCCACAGAGTGAAAGCTGAAGCTCATGTCCCAAAGGCTTTCAGGAAGGGACAGTGTAGGGTGGTGGGGAGGGTCACAGGTCTGCGAGCCAGGGTCACTTGTGTCTGGCCGAGATGTCACAGTGTCCTGGGGGAGATAATATGGGTGCATGACCCATGGCTTCCTAAGTTCAGCTCCACCTGTGCTGTATGTGCTGTAGTGGTCTCAACTGGTAACGGGAAAACCCTTTTTGGTCACAACTAAGAGGAAATACTGCTGCTGGCTTCTGTGAGTAGAGCCAGGTCTGCCATTAAAACATCCAAGGGGGCAGGCCCTTGACTAAAGCCATAGCTTTAGTCATCCATTCTCTGGCAACTGCTGAGATATCTGAGATATACCTTATTATCTCTCTCTTTTTTTTTTTTTTGCTGGAGGCATGCTACAATTAGAGAATGAATTTTGTCCCACTCTTTTGTCTACCCGCCCCACCCCCCCCAGTGGGGTCAGGGGCAGATTATGTCCTTCAGGCTGACATGGGTTGTGTCCTGATTTATTTAGGTTGTCCGATGCATGCGGGATCATCTGACCAAAACTGTGAGAAGAAAACAGACTCTGTGCCAGCTCACCAAGACCGTGCGTATGAGTACGTGGAATGCCCCGTTACAGGTGCTAAGTTCAAGAGAAAGGAAAACCTAGATCCTTCCAACATGGTAATCCATCCTTTCTTTTTGGCATATTTTATGGAGAGATGAAGCATCTCTATAAAAGTTATAGATGCCCATGATACATGACTGACTGCTAAGATGGTATCATCTCTAGTCTTTGAAAACAGATATTTGGGCTTGGCGCGGTGGCCTAGTGGCTAAAGTTCTTGCTTTAAATGCACTGGGATCCCATATGGGTGCCAGTTCTAATCCCAGCCGCCCCGCTTCCCATCCAACTTGGGAAGGCAATCAAGGACAGCCCAAGGCCTTGGGACCCTGCACCTGTGTGGGAGACCTGAAGAGGCTCCTGGCTCCTGGTTTCAGATCGGCACAGCGCCGGCTGTTGCAGCCACTTGGGGAGTGAATCAGCAGACGGAAGATCTTCCTCTCTGTCTCTCCTCCTCTGTATATCTCACTTGGCAGTAAAAATAAATAAACCTTTAAACAAAAGAAAGAATGAAGGCCTGAAAAAAACAAAAAGGATATTTGATATTTTGACTGCAGAATTCTAGAGAGAACTAGTTTATTAAAGACATGTGTGAGGCACTGCTTTCTGGGAAGGAAGGAAATATATCATTTGTTTCTACCTGATGTCATATTACTGGCAATTAAAAAAACAAAATGTGCTTGTTTTATGCAGATGCCACCACCTAACCAAACACCAGCCCCAGATCAACCGTTTGCGTTATCTACTGCCCGAGAGGAGTCGTCCATTCCGAGGGCAAATTCGGAGAGGAAGTGGGTTTATCCTTCTGAACAGATGTTCTGGAATGCAATGTTAAGGAAAGGGTGAGTAAGTGAGCCTGTTTTTTATACTATCAATGTGTTTGCCAGATTTATGTCAGAATTAATTGTTGAAGAGGTTATAGCCCCCAAACAGATAGGAAGTTTTTATGAGTTAATCAGAATTATGTTTGATCAGACCTCCTCTTATCCTGTTCTGCTCTGAGATCCTCTCCTGCTCTGTACACACAACCTGCTTTTACAAGGGTGTCAGGGTTGTTGGATCCCACCACAAATTTCTATGGCTTTTCTAACGTCTAAGGCCGTTAAAGAATCTTGTTATCTATAAATCATAAGTTACACTTAAAATCTTCCTCAAACATTTCTTTTTTTTTTTTTTAAAGGTTTATTTATTTTTATTGGAAAGGCAGATATACAGAGAGGAGGAGAGACAGTGAGAAAGATTTTCCGTCCGATGATTCACTCCCCAAGTGAGCGCAACGGCCAATGCTATGCTGGTCTGAAGCCAGGAGCCAGGAACTTCTTCCAGGTTTCCCACAGGGGTGCAGGGTCCCAAGGCTTTGGGGCCGTCCTCAACTGCTTTCTCAGGCCACAAGCAGGGAGCTGGATGGGAAGTGGGGCTGCCGGGATTAGAACCAGCGTCCATATGGGATCCCGGGGCGCGTTCAAGGCGAGGACTTTAGCTGCTAGGCCAGGCCACCAGGGCCCCTTCAAACATTTCTAAGGTGGAGAATTTCTTGCAGATTCCCCTTCTAAAATTATAGTAACAGCTTTAATCAAAGCCTGTATAATCCAAAAACTAAGTTTAATATTTTCTATCTTTCCAGCCTTTTCACCATTTTTCTGAGTAAAATTCTTAAATTCGCTTTCTAGTGTCCCTTCATCTAGAGACCACAGATGATGCTCACCAATAAGCTCTAAATAAGAATGCAATTGCTGCCTAGTTACCTTTGCTCCACTTTTCACTAAAAATTCCTACGTAAGAGAGATCAAAGACTGTGCTCTACACTGGTTCTGGCCCACTTCCACACTCACAACTTTCTGTGGGGGTCTCCGCTGCACTTTCTCTTCTCCTTTCAAGTCCCTGTTCAGGCTATGATAACAGGCGTGTAGTACTGACTGATGGTCAGTAGTTTATTAACAGCACCAGACTTTTAAAGGAAGGTTGTCGCCACTCAGGCATCTGGGGAGGAGGGGCTTGAGCCATTTACATCTCAACAGCAAGGTGCCTCTCCCAGGTTCTTTATCTAAACCTGTGAACCAAGATGCATCCTGCTTATCCTCCTTATCAATTGCTCCTGGCGCCTTCAGGGGAGATTGTACTGGCTATTGTCTCCCACAATAGCAAAGATTCTGAATGTCCTTCTATAGTTTCTTAGTATTGGTGTGTCAGTCTCGTTTCTGGTGACTCACTAAAGTGAGGTGAAAATGAGCCTTTCATCTTTGTTTTCAGCCTGTATCTAATATGTTTTGATTACCACTTCTGCATCATGATAAGTTAATAGATAAGTAAATGTCAAAATGAATCTAATCCAGTGGAGACAAGCATTCTTAGTTTTTTCTGTCAAGGATAGATAATATTTAATAAACTGTCTTCTGAATATCTGGGCACACTCTCATTATGAGTTGGTCCCATCTCACCTCCTGTTTCTTTTCTAGGTGGAAGTGGAAGGAAGAGGATATCACTCAGCAAGACATGTCTAATATTATTAAAATTCACAATCAGAATAATGAGCAGGCTTGGCAGGAGATTCTGAAGTGGGAAGCCCTTCACGCAAGGTAAGTGTGTTTGAGCTTCTAGAACCTTCCTGACTTCAATCCAGTTTTTTTCAGAACATTCCTGACTTCCTTCCAGCTTTTCGAGAGCATTCCTGACTTCATTCCAGCTTTCTAGACTTGGGAACATGATATGCAGATGCTTTGGGGCACCTGACATTCATTGTAGCATGGCCCTTCCAAGCATGGCTATTTCTTGGAATCGCTTTGCACAGGGAAGTGATATCTTGAGAGATACATGTGGGAAAGTGTACGTTATGAGAACTTCATTGTTAGAGAAAAGATAAGATTGTAACGGACTCTTATGTGCGGATTTCCAGAGAGTGTCCTTGCGGTCCCTCACTGATCCGGTTTGGAGGGAAGGCCCGAGAGTATTCGCCGAGGGCAAGGATTCGTTCCTGGATGGGGTAGGTGTCAGCACCCTTTACCGCGTCAGAGCCAGAACGAAACGGTCTGAGAAACTGCTGTGCTGTCTTGCGAATTGTCATCACGGTGCACCTGTTTTCGTTTCAGGTACGAGCTGCCTTTCGACAGGCATGACTGGGTCATCGACCGCTGTGGAAGGGAAGTGAGATATGTGATCGACTACTACGATGGTGGCCAAGTCAACCAGGATTACCAGTTTGCCATCCTGGACGTGCGGCCCGCGCTGGATTCATTCTCTGCAGTGTGGGACAGAATGAAGGTTGCTTGGTGGCGTTGGACTTCGTAAGCACTACTTTTTTTTTCTCTGAGCTGGAAACATACAAATGACTTTTTTTTTTCTATGAGGGACATGAAAATGTTTCCCCCAAGCCCGATGGCATTTACAGTGTCCCAGGGACTTCAAGCAGCTGGCGCCCTCATTCATATATTTCAACATTTTTAGTCTTTTCTTGATTCCTGTTTTTCTGATATAGGATTTTGCTCCTGACAGACAACTTTCCTCCTTGTTGTGGCATTTGACAAATTATCCCAACTTTGAGTCCATACCAGTATTATGTGGAACGATATGGTAAAGCAAGAATGTTTTTCTTCTATGTACAACATTAACTGCTTGTCTCAGTTTACATGTTTTTTTTGTCTTAAGGAAACTCAAAGTTGGTTTAATTGAATTTAGCATGTTACATAAAAGTGACTTTAAAAAAAAAAACAAGGTTGGTAACATTAAACAGTTTATCAGGAATGCTGCAGTGTAAATTTAGTCAATGGATTTCATAATCTCAGAGTTTTAATTTGGTATGGATGATTTTATTATATTAGTTTTATGTGGAGTTTTAAAAATCCAGCAGCATTAAACTCTGCATCTCAGAATATTTGTATATTTTAAAATAAAACCTAGTTACCAGGTTTAGAAGGTCTTTTCAGAGTAACTTTATCCTTGTTTCTTCAGACATGTTAACTTTGCAGAAGTAATGCTTTGGTCTTCCAACTTAAGGCCACCGTCTTATCATCTGTCAGCCATATATTTCAAATGTAGAGAAAAAATAGTGTTGGCCTTTTCTTTTTTTTACCCAAGTGCTATTGAATGAGTGTAGGATTGGAAGCTGAAAATTAAGCCATAGGGCCTACAGATTCACTCCTTTCATAGGATTGTGGTATGTTTTGAGACAGGTAACCCAAAAACGCAACAGTAAAGAGAATCTGACACCAGAATCAACAGTTTTCTACACCCTAACCCTTTCACAACTTCCAGAACAGTCAGATATGTGAACCTGGGGCTCATCTATTACATAGCCAGTGCTTCAACACTTTTTAAAAATATTTACTTATTTTTACTTTTATTGGAAAATCGGCTTTTACAGAGAGAAGGAGAGGCAGGTTTTCCATCTGTTGGTTTACTCCCCAAGTGGCCAGTAACGGCCAGAGCTTAGCTGAAGCCAGGAGCCAGGAGCTCCTTCCTGGTCTCCCATGTGGAAGTGGAGCAGCTGGGATGCAAACTGTACCCATATGGGATCCCTGCGCATGCAAGGGGAGGGCTTTAGCCACTGTGGTGCCAGGCCCTGTTCCAACATTTTCGGTGGCATGCAGCCAAGTGTGTGGATGAGCACATGTTTTGAAGACTAGTTTCTTTTCAGGGAGCCTCTGTCTGGCTGGGGATGGTGCATTTGCACGTGGCAGCTATCTTAACCTTTGTAACTGTTACTGCTGAATTGGTGTACAACACACCAATATATAGAAAATCACCTTTTTCCATCATCATGACTTAATCTCCCCCACCTTCTATGACTATGACCTTGGGGTTCAGGGTTCAGCAAATAAATTTGGAGGGATACAGACCTTCAGATTGTTAAGACGATGGCAGTTGGGGCCGAAAAAAAAGGATGAGGGAAACAGGTGGCTTTGCCTGTCGTACACCTTGGGCATGCTTCCTGCAATTCGGAGAATATTCCAGTAATTCTTCATCTGTGGCTGATCTCACAGCGCTGGTCACAGAGTGAATGTTTTATTAGCTGACTGAGACACATTGTATCTGTTTAAAAATTTTTTTTTAAATTGGAAAGTCATATACAGAGAGGAGGAGGAGAGACAAAGATCTTCTGTCTGCTGATTCACTCCTTGAGTGACTGCATAGCCAGAGCTGAGCTGATCCAAAGTTAGGAGCCAGGAGCCTCCTCTGGGTCTTCAATGCAGGCGCAGGGTCCCAAGGATTTGGGTCATCCTCTATTGCTTTCCTAGGTTACAGGCAGGGAGCTGAATGGGAAGTGTGGCCACCGGGACACTTACCAGTGCCCATATGGGATCCCAGCATGTTAAAGGAGGACTTTAGCCACTAGGCTACTGTGCCAGGCTTGCATTGTATCTGTTTTAAGTCAGAGCCCAGCACTGGGTGTGGCAGCTGGTGAACATCTAGTAAATATTGACTAGCCAGATTGTTGGATGAAGTCCTCTTCCAATATACTCCTCTCACGAAGCTTCTGAAACTAATGAAATTCTAAAGCTAATGTCAGATGGCAACTCAGTATAAGCCATTGTATTAATATGCTAATGAGCAATGATTGATTATAATTCAACTGGAAAGTTCGACTTCTTTTTAAAAACTTATTTATTGTTATTTTTAAAGATTTATTTATTTTATTGGAAAGTCAGGTTTACAGAGAGAAGAGACAGAAGAATCTTCTGTCTGCTGACTCACCCACCAAGTGGCCACAACAGCTGGAACTGAGCTGATCTAAAGCCAGGAGCCAGGAACTTCTCTGTCTCCCACATGGGTATAGGATCCCAAGGCTTTTGGGCCATCCTCTACTGTTTTCTCAGGCCGTTAGCAGGGAACTGGAAGGGAAGTGGAGTAGCTGGGATATGAACTGCTGTCCATATAGGATTTCAGCGCTTGTACAGCAAGGACTTAGCCACTAGGCTACCAAGATAGGCCTAAAGTTTGACTTCTGAATTACACCCATGTTGCTCTCTGGGTTTTCTCTGAAGCCCTCTTCAAAACCAGCCCCCTCATTGAATCTTTATTTTTGCTTCTGTTTCCCTCAGTTGGTAAAGGGCAGGAAGCGTAGAGTGCCCCGCAGGTGCTCTCTGGCTACTGAAGGGAATATACAAGTTGGTGGGAGAAACAGTAGATGGGAGCAGAGCATATTGAAGGAATGGCAGTTAGTTGTGCCTGAGTTTCTAAAATGATCTTGCAGGTACTCCCAACACCTCCAGGTGCTCTGCTGCTTGTGGATGACTTCCTGCTCAGCTGGTGCTGTGCCAGGTACTTCCTCGTGCATTCCTTCACAAAATTCTGGGAGTTTGCCATTACTCCCGTGCTGACAACACTGAGAAAATGGAGGGTGCATGTTGGAAGGCATTTATTCTGATGTCACCCAGCTACTGAAAGGGGAACTTTCCCCTTGGGAGGCTGTAGTGATGACTCAGTTGGTGCCTGGCATTCATGTGGGATACCTGCATTGAAGTCCCAGCTCTGGGCTCCAGTCTTGGCCCGGCCCTAGCCACTGCAGGTTTTTGAGGGCTGAGCTGGTTACCAAAGCATGCACATACTGTCTGTCTCCAATGAAAAGACAGTGGCATGTTACACACTAGGAAGAGAATGAATGCATTAGGTATTATGGTACTTGTTAGTACTCAGCAAGATTCTGTTAAGATTTATTTATTTTTATTAGAAGGTAGATTGACAGAAAGAGAGGGAGAGAGACCTTCCAACTGCTGGCTGGTTTATTTCCCATGTGATTGCAATGGCTGGAGTTGAGCCAATCTGAAACCAGGAACCGTGCATGTCTGCCACGTGGATGTTGGGGCCCAAGCACTTGGGCAGTCTTCTACTGCTTTGTCAGTGGGGGGTTGGATAAGAAGTGTAACAACCAGGACATGAGCCAGCAAGCACAAGAGATGCTGGAGCTTGCAAGGGGAGGATTAGCTAGTTGAGCTGTCATGCCTGCCCCCCCCCCCTTTTTTTTCACTATCTAGATAATGTTATTTGAAGTAATACCTATATGTTTTTTTGTGAAGTTTAATTTATCCTTGTTCTCTTTAGTTGCTTCTACTTTGAGTATCATGCCTAAAAACAGTTTCCTTATCCAAGGTCATGAAGATATCCATTTGTCTTTTAAGAATGTTTTAGCTTTAAATTTTGCATTTAGGATTTTGATTAGTTTTTTTTTTTTAAAGGTTTATTCATTTTTATTACAAAGTCAGATATACAGAGAGTAGGAGAGACAGAGAGGAAGATCTTCTGTCCGATGATTCACTCCCCAAGTGAGTGCAATGGCCGATGCTATGCCGATCTGAAGCCACGAGCCTCTTCCTGGTCTCCCATGTGGGTGCAGGAACCCAAGGCTTTGAGCTGTCCTCAACTGCTTTCCCAGGCCACAAGCAGGGAGCTGGATGGGAAGTGGAGCTGCCATGATTAGAACCGGTGCCCATATGGGATCCCAGTGTGTGCAAGGTGAGGACTTTAGCTGCTAGGCCATGCCGCGGGGCCCTTGATTAGTTTTTGTATGCACTGTAAAATATAGGTCCAATTTAACACTTATGTGTGTATGTTTCATTTTCCCAGAACCAGTTGAAGAAAAAACAATTTTCTCCCATTAATTATCTTGTCACCAATGTCGAAATCAAGTTATAATAAATGTTAGAGCTTACTATGAAACCTGTTTCAGTAGTTTCTATGCCTGTTGTTACACCAATATTTTACAATCTTGATTAGTGCAGCTTTAGTAAATGTTGAAATTGTGTTATCTATAAATGCTTTTACTTTTTTCTGTCCAAACTTGATAGGCTTTAGTACTTCTTATTTCCTAATTGTCCCAGCTGTGATCTTGAGAGCTTGTTTGGAGGTTCTAGCAGGGGAACGCAGCTACTCCTATACCCTTGACCAAAGACTGGTCCTCCTCTAGAGGGGATGGTCATCCTCTTCGAAGCGAGCGTGCAGCTTCAGGGGGGACACACATGGAGCGGTGAGGGAGGAAGGGGACACCCGCCTAGTCAGCCAGATCAGCCGAATCAACCCTGGTGATCAATGGGGTGACAGATGTCCCAGCCAGATCGCCCTCACATCCCCAGCTGTGATCTTATATACAAAGCAAGATAGAAGTGACTCAATCTGGGTCTCCTGTTTGGATTTCAGGGACTCAGGCACTTTGTCACCTGCTGTCTTCCAAGAGTGTTAGAAGGAGCTAGAAAAACAACAGCAAAGCCATCACTGCAAGTTTATCTTGTGGGTTCCTGAGGAAGAGAGCAACCAAAAAGAAATGGTGGTGGGAGGGCAGTGCTCTCTTGGGCAACTGACAGTTTATTTCAAGAGTAACAGTTCTCTTATGGTGTGTTTATCAAAGCGCTATTGAAATGGGGACTAGATAAGGAGTACTGATGGTCCTTGATTAGCTGACTAGACAGAGCACATATGTTCGCGTTTCATCAAGAAGAGCACAAAACACCTCCAAGGACTCGCTGGGTGCAGCATGCCTGCTGGCCGAGGGCCTTTTCTTCCTCTTGTTGGAGCCTCTTCTCAACAGGTCCCAGCCTGCATCTGGCACCACAGCTTATTTTATTGGATGTTCCAACAACAATCACAACATTAGCAGGAAAAAAGAAGTAACCAAAAAATAGGGAGGAAATAAAAAAGAGACCAAAGAAACAATACATAAGATCAATGAATCAAAGGCTTGGTGCTTAGAGAAAATCAGCAAAATAGATTCCCCACTAGCCCATCTAATCAAAAAAGGAGCGAGAAGGTACAAATCAATAGGACCAGGGACAAGAAAGGAAATATAACGGCAATACCTGGGACATCCAATGAATAATCAAGAACTGTTACAAGCAACTATATGCCACCACATCAGGAAGCCTAGAAAGAAAGAATGTTTAGATTTTTGGCCACCTATTTCAAAAATTGAATCATGATGCAATTAATAATCTAAATGTTAAGCAGGATGTAGATGGAATCATTGATTAAATCCCTCCCAACAAAGAAAAGCCCAAGAATGAATTCTGCACTGGTTGTACTTTTCAAGAAGAAATGACTCTAATCCCAAGTAATTCCAAACAATAGGGAGGCAATCCTTCCAAAGCCTTTCTAAGAAGCTAGCATCACCTTAAAACCAAAGCCAAATACAGGCACAACAGAGAAAGAACAACAGAGCAATATTCCTGATGAACATAGATGCAAAAGGTTTCAACAGAATCCAACAATGTATCAGAAAGATCATTCACCGGGACCAGATGGAGTTTATTCCTGGCATTCAGGGATGGTTTAACTTATGCAAATCAGTAAAAAGGTACACCACCACAACAAACTGAAGAATAAAGATTATCATAAAAGACGCGGAATAGGCATTTGATAAAATCCAACCCCAGGGGCCTAGCACAGTAGCCTAGTTGCTGGGGTCCCATGTGGCCCAGTTTGTGTCCCAGCTGTTCCACTTTCCTGCTTGTGTCCTGGAAAAGCAGTTAGAGGACAGCCCAAATCCTTGTGACTCTGCACCTGCATTGGAGACCTAGAGGAGGTTCCTGACTCCTGACATCAGATAGGTTCAATTCTGGCCTTTGCGACCACTCGCGGTGGGGGTCTGGGGGTGCCAGTGGATGGAAGATCTTTTTGTCTTTCCTCTCTGTAGGTCTGACTTTCCAAAGGAAACAGGTGGATCTTTAGGGAAAAAAAAAATCCAACACCAACCAATTCATGCTAAAAGCCCTAATTATGATAGGCATAAAAGGAACATAAACAAAGCTAAAACAATGTCAGCATCATACTCCAAGGAGAAATACTGGAAGCTTTCCCACTAAGATCTAGAACTAGACAAGGATTCCCCACTAGCCCATCTAATCAAAAAAGGAGGGAGAAGATACAAATCAATAGGACCAGGGACAAGAAAGCAAATATAACGGCTTTTCACCATTGCTATTCATTCAACACAGTACTGGAAGTCCTTGCTGGAGCTATTAGATAACAAAAAGAAACTAAAGGAATGCAAATAGGAAATGAGGAATTAAAATTATTACTATTTGCAGATGACATGATTTCTATACAAAGGAGAACCAAAAGACTCAATCAAGAGACTTGGAATTCGTAAGAGAATTTGGCAGGGTAGTAGGGTACAAAATTAATGAACTTAAAACGATGCCTCCAGTATAAACAAGTAACTCCATGGCTAAGAAAGAACTTGTAAGTACAGTCCCCTTTAAAGTAGCAGAGAAGAATCTTGGCCCTGGTGGCGTGGCCTAGCAGCTAAAGTCTTCACCTTGCATGCACCGGGATCCCATGTGGGCGCCAGTTCTAATCCCAGCAGCTCCACTTCCCATCCAGCTCCCTGCTTGTGGCCTGGGAAAGCAGTCGAGGACGGCCTAAAGCTTTGGGACCCTGCACCCACGTGGGAGACCCAGACCCCACTCAGGGGTTGAACCAGTAGACAGAAGACCTTTTTCTCTAGAGTTTCTCCTCTCTATAAAATCTGTTACCATAAACAATAAATAAGTCTTAAAAAATACCAAATGTGTAATCCTACATGCATTTATGTATTAGTAATTTAAGAATGTGCATAATAGATATTAACTTTGTTTTCACTCCATTTTTTAAAAAACTTCTTGATAAAAATGCATATCTGTGTTTCCTAGTGAATATTAAGTTATCCTCTAGGAGCAGCAGTAATATTTAGCCTATACATTCCAAGAAGTAATGATTTTATTTTGACTGATTATGAGGTACATTTGTGAAAATAAGGTAGTCTTTGATTCTGGCAGTCTTAAACATTTCAAAAATCCTAATTATATCTGTTATTCGCTAAGGTATAGATATCCTCTTGTATTTGTAGAATATATACGGATATTTTAGGTCAAGGGTGATTTTATGTTCTACTCCTCTTCCATTTGAATAATAAAAAGGAGCAATCATAGCTAATTCATACATAGCTGCTTTTGTATGAATATTTAATTGGCATGTTTATTTATTTTATTATTATTTTAAATAATTACAGATTTTAGCAGTAATAGTCATCATTTTTTTTAAAAAGATTTATTTATTTATTTATTGGGAAGTCAGATATACAGAGAGGAGGAGAGACAGAGAGGAAGTTCTTCCATCCCATGATTCACTCCCCAAGTGAGCGCAACGGCCGATGCTATGCTGATCCAAAGCCAGGAGCAGGAGTTTCTTCCGGGTTTCCCACATGGGTGCGGAGTCCCAAGGCTTTGGGCTGTCCTGGACTGCTTTCCCAGGCCACAAGCAGGGAGCTGGATGGGAAGTGGAACTGCTGGGATTAGAACTGGTGCGCATATGGGATCCCGGTGCGTTCAAGGCGAGAACTTTAGCTGCTAGGCCATGCCACCGGGCCCAGGATGTTTATTTTGATTAGAAAAATTAGATATTCTCAAGCAAGGTCATTATATGACAGATGCATACATTGCACTTCATTTTTTTTCAATTGTGTTAGTATGTTTTTCAAAGATTTATTTATTTTTGTGGAAAAGCAGATTTACAAAGACAAGGAGAAACAGAGAGAAAGATCTTCCATCCACTGGTTCACTCCCCAGATGGCCGAAGTGGCCAGAGCTGAGCCAATCTGAAAAAGGTGCCAGGAGCTTCTGTTCAGATCTCGCATATGAATACAGAGTCTCAAGCCTTGGGCTCTACTCTACTGCCTTCCCAAACCACAAGCAGGGAGCTGGATGGAAAGTGGAGCAGCTGGGACACGAACCAGCACCCGTAGGAGATGCTGGTGCTTGAAGGGGGAGGATTTGCCAATTGAGCTAGTGTGCTGGGCCCTAAAATAGTTTCAGAAATATTTTTGCCTTTATATAAAGAAGAAACAACATTGTATAATGTTGATCTTGCTTTGCTGAGTTTAACAAAAGTTTATAGTGCTGTTTCTGCTGCCCTCTAGTGTGTTTCTGATATACTGAATTAAATGAGTTGAATTATAGTTTTTATTAGATTTTATACTAAGCCTCTATTCATTAGCACTGATAAATAAACTATTAAATTTTTTTTAAGATTTATTTATCTTTATTGGAAAGTCAGATATACAGAGAGGAGGAGAGACAGAGAAGAAGATCTTCTGTCCCATGATTCACTCCCCAAGTGAGTGCAACGGCCGATGCTACGTTGATCCAAAGCCAGGAGCCAGGAACTTCTTCAGGGTCTCCCACACGGGTGCAGGGTCCCAAGGCTTTGGGCCGTCCTCGACTGCTTTCCCAGGCCACAAGCAGGGAGCTGGATGGGAAGTGGAGCTGCCGGGATTAAAACCGGTGCCCATATGGGATCCTGGCATGTTCAAGGCGAGGACTTTACCTGCTAGGCCACGCCGGGCCCAACTCTATTATATTTTTATATCAAAGATAATACAGGTGTGAATAATCAGACTTATTCTGGCTTTGGAATATACTTTTTCTTGCAATTAAATAGTCTACACTTTGGAAATTCATTTTAAAACAAAGCTTTCAAGACTTATTATTACCTATTTGCCTGCTCACCTTTATGATAGATACAAGGGAGTCTCAGCTTTCTTCACCCAGTTATAATGAAGTCAGCTAATCACGACATGTAATCTAAGAGAATGATTCGCAACATCAAGTGGGTCCCGTGCAGACTGAATTCAGCTGATCCTGAGAACAGCCCAATTTCCAAGTCTGTATGTGGACAGAGGACAGGGTGTC